AACTGGGAGACTAGTCAGGATCGGAGGAAAGATGAATGCAACAATGTTCAGAGACATCCTTGATGAAAGCCTGTCCCAGAGTGCTCTGGACCTTATACTGGGGTGACAGTCCATATTTCAACAGGATAATGACCCTATGCACACAACCCACATAACAAAGGAGTGGCTATGGGCCAACTCTGTGAATGTCCTGGAGTGGCCCAGCCAGAGCCCAGACTTGAACCCAATTGAACATCTCTGGAGAGATCTGAAAATGGCTGTGCACCGACGCTCCCCATCCAACCTGATGGAGCTTGAGAGGTACTGCAAAGAAGAATGGGAGAAATTGCCCAAAAATAGGTTTGCCAAGCTTGTAGCATCATACTCAAATCAACTTCAGGTTGTAATTGGTGCTAAAGGTGCATCAACAAAGTATTGAGCAAAGGCTGTGAATACTTATGTACATGTTTTTTTGTTTATTTTTAATAAATTGCAAAGAATTCAAAACTAACTTCTTTCATGTTGTCATTAGGGGGTATTGTTTGTAGAATGTTGAGGAAAAAAATGAATTTAATCCATTTTGGAATAAGGTTGTAACATAACAAAATGGAACAAAAGTTAAAGCGGACCTACACCCAAAAGGGAAAGTTCCGCTTTAAGCCTTTGTCCGCCACTCCCCATTAAGGATTGGCATCTTTGGGGAGCGGGTGCCCGAATTTGACAGGTACCCGCTCCCACTTCCGCTGCGATCACCTAGGCCAGGGGTAGGCAACCTGCGGCTCTCCAGCTGTTGCAGGACTACAAGTTCCATCATGCCTCTGCAAGTCATAGCTGTAACTGTAAATTTTGCAATGTCTCATGGGAAATGTAGTTCCACAACATCTAGAGAGCCGCAGGTTGCCTACCCCTGGCCTAGGCGATCGGAAACTGAAGTTGTTCTCCTACCCCGCTCCTCATAGTCTGCTGGGACACATGACAGGTCCCAAAAGACTACAGGGCCATTCACAAAGTGCAGCGCTTCTTGTGCATGCGCAGTGGGCATCCGGCTGTGAAGCTGCAAACTTTCACAGCTGGGTGCCCACACTGAAGATGCCGGCGCCAGGGAGAGAAAACGGCCGGTGAAACCAGCAGTTGTGAGGACACCGCTGGACCAAGGGACAGGTAAGTGTCTGTATTTTAAAAGTCAGCAGCTACATTTTTGAGGCAGATGGCAGAGGCAGATTTTGTGAAAATGTCTCACATGCACTCTAAATGTGGTACAGTCTGTATGAAATTAAAATACAAGTTCTAGACAGGTACATTAATTTGGCACACACTGCATCAATATTAGCATGCATACGAGACACTTTCGCAAAATCTATCTGCGCAAGTCTTTATGAATTCTATGGATTGTGTTTTAGTGAGCTTCACATTACTTTGTAAACTCTGTCTTTTGGCATTACCCAATGAGCAGTTAATAATTCAGAAGTGTACTAGCCCATGGAAACCAATTAAGAATACATCTTTATTGTTATGACTTCAGCAAAGTGAATTTTAGTTGGCCCTATACTGATAAGCACTTCTGGATAAAGAACTCCTTAATATTAAATTAATAGGGTTTAATCTCATAATTGCAAATACAAACCTTACCAATTTTAACTGACCTATGAAAATGGATATAATATAGTAAGATTACCTGATATTCATGCAGAAAACAAAGAAAAAAAGTGTTGCTTGAATCAGACAAAAGATTTGAATGCAAGTTCTACTGTGTTATTGAAAGAAGTAAATGATTTGCTCTGATCTGTAAAGGTTGGCAGAATGTTACATTCCCTAAATTACATTTTAATTTAATAGATAAAAACTTGCTAAAATTTCAGTTTCTCTTCACAATTTAAGAAAAACGTATGATCCCTGAATTAAGTGTTCATCACATTTAAATACTTCACATAAAAAACTTAATCCACTAGTGGAGTACCACTGATTTTAAGCGTCATATTTATGTTATTAAGAATTATGAGTTTATTGTGTTACAATACATTCCATGGCATGAGGCCAGCTGTTTTAGAACTAGCGAACCGTTCCTATACAAACAATTATATATTTGTGTTTACAAAGTGTCTGTTTAAAATCAACAATGTAACAAAGTAGTAAAAAAACAAACAAAAAACAACTACTTGAATAAGTAAAAGATCTTAAAATAAATAGTTAAGATATAGCACTTCTTTATACTTCCAATTATTTATACTTCCATTTATTTAAATAAAATGAAAACTTTTTAAAATTAGATATTGTACTCTTGCAAAAAGAAAAAAAAAATTATTGCATGCAGTGTATAGAGTAACATTATTGATTCCAACTCAAAGTGTGTATTTTTTTTTATAGACGTATAATATATCTCTATCAGAAATTGGAGCAGGTAACTCCTGGTGTGTTGCAAATCTTATCTGTTGGCTCCCATAATTCCATCCATATAAAACATCCAAAATCAAATGAGGAGGAGATCTCCAAGTTACAAAAATTCTCTTTACTTCAAGTGTGTACACTTGGAGATCTCGTTCTCAATTATATATTTTTTTATTACAATAATTATAAATAAAATGTTTCATTTTAAAAAAAATACATTTATTGAAGTTTAAAACTTTTATGCACACACAAATATTTAAATGTGTGAAGAGAATGCACCTTGTATGAAAACCAAGTATGTTTAGCTGGGACCATAGGTTTAGGGTACCTCAATATATCATAAAGATTTTAAACAGACAGAAAAACAACTAATATTAAGAAAATTATATACTTTATTTAATAATTATTAGTACAAGATCTCATATCTTGCTGTAAATACATTCTAAAATAAACTCTTTCAAATATACAAAAAAAAAAATACATATACTCCGCGAAACTGTCATCTGTAATAAATAAAAGTGACCACGTATCTGGTCACAGTGATCCTCCTGGTCTGTTGATTCAGTTTAATCTCCTGAAACAATGGTGGTTTCTCATCCTCTGAAAGCTAAAATAAATAATGTATGAAGGAAACCTCCCTTTTCATTTTTCTCTTTTCTTCACATTTTCTGCTTTTGCTAGTGAGTTCTGCCTAAATTTTCACGCTTCCATTCAGAGGACACAAAAGCCTACAAATTATACAATGACTTCTAACCTGGCCCTCTGGCGAACAACTTTTTTTTTTTGTTTTGGTTTTTTTTTTTGTTTTGTTTTTCAAATAAATCATAAGGACAGATGGAATCGGGTACAGAGAGCGAAAGAACAAAAAAGGTATTGTGACAAAATCTGGCCAAGTGAACCAAGTGCACGTCAGAGAGAAAGTTTGCCTTGGCAGGTGAAATTCCCACACCAATCAACAATGAGTGGGAAAGAAAACAGATGTCATATCAGTACACACAAGTGGGGTAAAAGCAACATTTAACACCGCTGACATTTTACCATTGAATTAAAAGAGGACTCCCGACACTTGTTTCTTCCAGCTTGCCCAAAAGAATTATTTAAAGTGTCAGGAAAGCTGGAATTCTGTTGCTGATTGGCTGCCTGGATCACGCAAACATTTGTAAACACAGGGAGGGGGAAATTACTTAATTTGGCCAAACATGGATCAAAATTCAGCTATTTCTGTAGAGACTGGCCAAATTTCAGTCCATCTATGGCCAAGTTCCTGTTCAAGAGGAGTTCATCTAATGACTCCTCATGAATGGGACTGTTGGTAAATTTTCATTTGATCAGCTGCAGCACTGACTACTGTAATCTGACAGTAGAGAGGATTTCCCAATCTGCTTTGAATGTGTAGATTGGGCAATCCATCTGCCACCCCCCCACCCCCCCCCCCCCCCCCCCAAACAGCCTGCAGGCCGATCAGAAAAAAACTGATCAATGCATATCCTGCTTAAGACCTTGTTCACACCATGATGCAGAAACGTGCGGTTTTCTGCACACGCTGTACGAGGGCACATCTAAATCAGTTGTTCTCTATGTGCCATGTTCACACAACACTAGTATCACATGTGGATTTGTTCTGCACAGGAATCTGCAATGTGTATAAAACTGATGTAAACTGATATGTCTGCAAGTGAAATCTGCAAGTCAGTTTTTCTGCACGCTGGTGTGAATGAGCACTAAAACTGGAGCAGCTATGCATGACAAGCAATCAGCTTCTAACTTTTATTTTCAAAGCTTAATTGAACAAACTGAAGATAGAAGCTGATTGGTTACTAGGCACAGCTGCTCCAGTTTTAGTAAATCCCCCTCCAATTTTTTCACCTACTGTTCTTCTGACAAAATTCCCTAGCCTTGATTTCTATCACTGATGACAAGACCTGTCATCTGCATTGGGCTATCACAGCATACAACTTCTCCCCCCATCATACCAATGATATGCATCCAGGACTACATATATCAATGACATTGGGTTAAAGGAAGCCAGATCTATTGCATTTTCATTAAGTGTTCTCTGTCTCTAGGAATGTCAGGTGGATGGGACGACCTCAGCCAACCCCCCCAGTCTGGTCTCCAGGGATGTCAGGTGGATGGGACGACCCCAACCAACCCCCGCAGTCTGGTCTCTAGGAATGTCAGGTGGATGGGACGACCCCAACCAACCTCCCCAGTCTGGTCTCTAGGAATGTCAGGTGGATGGGACGACCCCAACCAACCTCCCCAGTCTGGTCTCTAGGAATGTCAGGTGGATGGGACGACCCCAACCAACCTCCCCAGTCTGGTCTCTAGGAATGTCAGGTGGATGGGACGACCCCAACCAACCTCCCCAGTCTGGTCTCTAGGAATGTCAGGTGGATGGGACGACCCACGCCAACCCCCCCAGTCTTGTCTGTAGGAATGTCAGGTGGAAGTGACGACCCCAACCAACCCCCCTAGACTTGTCTCCAGGGATGTCAGGTGGATGGGACGACCCCAACCAACCTCCCCAGTCTGGTCTCTAGGAATGTCAGGTGGATGGGACGACCCAAGCCAACCCCCCCAGTCTTGTCTGTAGGAATGTCAGGTGGATGTGATCCCCCTAGCTGTGTCCATGTTCAGAGAAAAGTCATGCTGGCTGGCAGAAGGAGATGGTGCTGCTGGCTCAGGTGGCGATCAGCCGGCTGCCAGTAGTCTAGGATGTCCGAGGTAGATGTGGCAGGGCTGGCAGGGGAGAGGGAGCCGCAGGAGGAGGATGGGGATGAGGAGTAGCTCCAGGAGGAGGATGTGCTGGGGGATGAAGAGTCTTGGATCAGCATGGCCGGCTCGGTACATCCGTGCAGTTGATCGGCCAGTCGGAGGGTCTCTGACAGCGCCCAGATGTAGTTGTGGGCAAAGCGCAGGGTCTCGATCTTGGTGAGCTTGGCATCCTCGGGGAAGGTGGGCAGCACCTCCCGGAGGGCGTCCAGGGCGGAGTTGAGGTGGTGCATGCGGTTTCTCTCCCGGTTGTTGGCTTTCAGCCTCCGGCTCTTCTTGATCTTCATCACGAGCGGCCCGTTTTTGGTGCTGCTCCTGGCCCGATGCCGCTTGGGCTTGTCCGCGGACGGCTCCATTGGCTGCGGCGGGGTGAGGAGCGGCTCCTCGTCTGACAGCGGGCTCTGCGGGGACATCTCCTCTTCTCCGTACTCACTCTTCACCTGCACCATCCTGTAACAAGACAGACACATTAGTATCCAATAGAGGACGAGAGCCGTGCTAGAAGCGGCCGGGACTGTACTTACTTGCCGTAGAAGCCCCGGGTGGTGAGTGGCTGGGGGTGTGCTGTGCTCCCGGCACGCGTCCTGCAGCCAGGCTCCCGGTACAAGCTGCCTGCGGTTTAGTGGCTGTGTGTCTGGCACACGACCCACCGAAAATCCCTTATATACAGCCCGCCAGACAATCAAAGCTACCCCGGGGCAGCGCGCCCCCTCCCCGGCTCCATCTCATCACTCATTTTCCTCTTCTCCCCCCTCCTCCACCGAGCTTGTCATCTTCTCCGCTCCTCCGGCTTCCTGCCCACTGATTGGTGGCTCCCGCTCGGCTGAAGCGTGCCGCTAATTTCCTGAATCAATAGGGCCGGGTGTGGCAGCCAATGGCAGGGCGCGGAATCCTGGACAGGGGGCCAGCGAGCCACGCGCCCTCAGAGCAGCTGATGAGACGGGAGGAGGAGGCGGGGTGGTCCCGGCTTTGTGCTCGTCAACCTGAGCTTGTCTGTCAGCCCCGCACTCTCTCAGGCTCCCACAGAAAACTTTACACAGTTCGGTGCCAAGGAATGGCGCACGTTCCGTACACACCACATGAAAAAGAAACGGGATACAGAGAACTTTATTCTTTGCATAGAGGAGGAAATGGTTAAACCGTGCTAGGACATACACTATATTGCCAAAAGTATTGGGCCAGCCCTCCAAATCCCTGGATTCAGGTGTTCCATTCACCTCCGGGGGTGGATTGACAACTCATGGGGCCCCCGGGTAATAGGGGATCATGGGGCCCCTGTGTCCTTGCCCAAACTCAAAAAAGCCTATGAAAAAGGTACCAGGGGCATCTCATGGGGCCCCCCACTGATCCCGGGCCCTGGGTCAGTGCCCGAGTTTCCAAATGGTCAGTCCACCCCTGATCACCTCCATGGCCACAGCTGTATAAAATCAAGCACCTAGGCATGCAGACTGCTTCTACAGACATTTGTGAAAGAATGGGTCACTCTCAGGAGCAGACTGACCATTTGAAAACTCGGGCACTGTCTGAGGGCCCGGGATCAGTAGGGGGCCCCATGAGATGCCCCTGGTACCTTTTTCATAGTTTTTTTTGAGTTTGGGCAAGGACACAGGGGCCCCATGATCCCCTATTGCCCGGGGGCCCCATGAGTTGTCAGTCCGCCCCTGCTCAGGAGCTCAGTGAATTCAAGCGTGGTACTGTGATAGGTTGTCACCTGTGCAATAAGTCCATCCGCAACATTTCCCTGCTACTAAATATTCCACAGTCAACTGTTAGTGGTATTATAACAAAGTGGAAGCAACTGGGAACAACAGCAACTCAGCCATGAAGTGGTAGGCCATGTAAAATGACAGAGGGGGTCAGCGCATGCTGAAGAGCACAGTGCGCAGAAGTCGCCAACTGTCTGCAGAGTCAATAGCTAAAGACCTCCAAACTTCATGTGTCTTCAGATTAGCACAACAACAGTGTGTAGAGAGCTTCATGGAATGGGTTTCCATGGCCAAGAAGTTGCAGCCAAGCCTAACATCACCAAGTGCAATGCAAAGTGTTGGTGGTGTAAAGCATGCCGCCACTGGACTCTAGAGCAGAGGAGACGTGTTCTCTGGAGTGACGAATCCTGCTCTCTGTCCTGCAATCCAATGGACATGTCTGGGTTTGGCGTTTGCCAGAAGAACAGTCCTTGCCTGACTGCATTGTGCCAAGTGTGAAGTTTGGTGGAGGGGGGATTATGGTGTGGAGTTGTTTTTCAGGGATTGGACTTGCCCCTTAGTTCCAGTGAAGGGAACTCTTAAGGCATCAGCATACCAACACATTTTGGACAATTTCATGCTCCCAACTTTGTGGGAACAGTTTGGGGATGGTCCCTTCCTGTTCCAACATGACTGCGCACCAGTGTACAAAGCAAGGTCCATAAAGACATGGAGGAGCGAGTTTGGGGTGGAGGAACTTGACAGACCTGCAAAGAGTCCCGACCTCAACCCGATAGAACACCTTTGGGATGATTTATAGTGGAGACTGCGAGCCAGACCTTCTCATCTGACATCAGTGCCTGACCTCACAAATGCACTTCTGGAAGAATGGTCAAACATTCCCATAGACACCCTCCTAAACCTTGTGGACAGCCTTCCCAGAAGAGTTGAAGCTGTTATAGCTGCAAAGGGTGGGCCAACTCAATATTGAACCCTACAGACTAAGACTGGGATGCCATTAAAGTTCATGTGAATGTAAAGGCAGGTGTCCCAATACTTTTGGCAATATAGTGTAGTTTTGCTGCCTGTGAGTGTTTGAGGAAATTTTCTTTCCTGCCCCACAGAAATTTGAGGAAATCTTCCAAAGTGAGGGAATTTATGCCCCATTCACACCTGAATGTAGCATTTTTGTGTGCATTTTTATGCACATTTGTAAATGTTTGTGCACGATTTGTTAAGGCATTTTCTGGCTTTTTGAGTTCTGGCATTTTTTATTAGCCAATAGAGAAAAAATTTATCTTTATCTTGGCTCACATAGAGACATATTTTTTTTTCTTCGGATTCAATGGTCATGCATTTTTCTTCCACATTTTTTAACACAAAAACAGGAAAAACAGATGAGTGTGAAAGCAGCCTGAGTATTTTCTGAATGGTCTGGAGTTTAAGCAGTGTGCCTCAAGGCTCTGTCCTGGTAACAAATCTGTTTAAAGGAGAAATGCAGCCAAAGCACTTTTGGTTGTACTTCTGTGGATCACATGAGTGCAGTTTATTATGCACTCCTGTGACCCGTTTTCAGCTGACAGGCTGGGGAAAGATCCCGACTTTAAAATCGGGATCCACCCCAGGCTGGAGCAGCACCTGGCTTAGCCTCTCAACGATCTGCTGAGAGCCTGAACCAGCTGCTCCCTCCCACTTCACAGCCCAGTGCTCCAGTGAGCAATGGGGGGGGGCAGAACAGACACTCTAATGCTGAAAAGCGCAGCAAAACGTGGTAAATTGCGGCAAACCAGCATTTTTGGACGTTTTGTGACCAAACAAAAACATTTTTTTGGGGTCAAATACAACCCTAAAAATGCGGCAAAATGCTAATTAACCGCCTCCCGTCCGGCCGGCGCCGTTGTATATAAAAGGCTGGACGTGGCAGTGCAGGGTTGGGTAGCCATTTATAAACGGCCTCCCCGCACCCTGCTTGTGCGCGCTTCCTGGGAGCGCGCAGCACCGTGATCCGGTGCCCGCTGTGTCCTCCGGACACAGTGAAACACTGATCGTCAGAAGGGACCTCTGTACGAGGTCCCGATCATGTGATCACTGATTGGCCAATCAGTGATCACATGCAAAGTAGTAAGCAAGATGTCACTTGTGACATCATTGCTTACTACGTGTGAAAGCTGTGAATGATCACAGAGGTCACATGGTACAAGGTTATTCACAACAGCCTTGTACCATGTGACAAGCTGTGACCAATCACAGCTCACTCAGTAGTTCTCAATGGCTGCAAGAATGCAGACAGAGAGAAAGAGAAATGATTGCTTTTACATCCGTTACGGGTGTAAAAGCAATCAGTGTAAAAAAAAAAAAAATCTTCATCACCCCCCACAAGTAGTACAGTGTCACCATGGTGACACTGTACTGCAAGGGTGACATTATGTAAAAAAAATAAAAACATAAATAATACTATAAAAAAAATAAAATAAAAATGTAAAAAAAATGTTTAAACACTATACTTTTTGGTTATAAACTAATTTGGCTTATTTTGTTTTTTACTAAAAAGATAATGGAATAAATTTTGGCCAAGATTTATGATGAAATATTATTTATTTGCAAAATTTTATAAGAAAAACACTTTTTTTTCAAAATTTTTGGACTTTTTCATTTACATAGCAAAAAAAATAAAAATCCCAGTGGTGAATAAATACCACCATAATAAAGCTTTATTTGTCTCAAAAAAATGGTAAAAAATGCATATGGGTACAGTGTTGCATGACCGCGCAATTGTCATTCAAAGTGTGATAGCGCTGAAAGCTGAAAATTGCCCTGGTCAGGAAGGGGGTAAAAATGTCCTGACTGGAAGTGGTTAAACAGTTTTAACGTGACTTTACACAGCTAATGTTACCAGCGTTATTAAAACATGTGTGCATGGAGCCTTAGAGCTGGCAGGGGACAGATGCTGCATCCACCTAGGTATGTATAACTAGGGGAAAAAAAATCCCATACTTCTCTTTTAACTTGTTCATAAATGATAAAGAAGTTGGAATAAAACATTCAATCTCAGTGTTTGCTGATAATACAAAACTAAGCAGGGCAATAACTTCAAAACAGGATATACTACTTCAACTTTACAAGAAGAACTCGATACCAGTGTGAACAACTACATTACAGATGAAGCATAATATTGAAAAATTTAAAGTAATGCGATTGGGGGCTAAAAAATTTAAGGCACGTTACTGGCTGGGGCAAGAACCTCTGTGGGAATCCAGGACGGAAAAGGATCTGGGAGTCCTGGTAAATGACAGATTCAGCAATAGCATGCAATGCCAAGCTGCAGCAACCAAGGCCAGCAGACTATTAGCATGCATTAAAAAGGATACGTATTTACTCAAGAAAAAAGCTAGAAATGTAGCACTTTACAAAACTCTGGCCACATCTTGAGTATGCTGACCAGCTCTGGTCACCAATCCTGAGAAGGATGTTCTTGAACTAGAGAAAGTCCATAGAAGGACAACAAAGCTAATAAGGGGGCTGGAGGACCTCTGTTAGGAACAGCTACAAACATTAAACATATTATCCCCGAAGAAGAGATAATTAAGAAGGCATTTGATTACAGTATGCAAATCTTTCAATGGTGACTATATAATTGGGAGGAAACAAATCTAATCTAAGGTCTTAAAAAAAGACACGCAGCAACACAGTGATGTTGGATGAGAAGCAGTTCGCTCTCTAGCTTCTTTACTGTTAGAGCGGTAAGGATATAGAACTCCTTTTTTACAGTTGTTGGTGTCAGTGGGGAATGTAGATAAAATACAAAAAACTTTTAGATATGTTTCTTAGTGAGCCATGTACAGGGATATGGAAAATAGTAGACAGACACACACATTGAACTTGATGGACTGGTGTCTTTATGTATTTATGTTTACAACATGCACTTTCATTTTATAACATCAGCACTGTAATAACAATGCAAACAATAGCTATATTTAACAATCCAACATATACTTACTTGAAAAATCTCCTTTCATGTTGTGAGTGCTGATTGTCTGCTGGCCATCTCTTTCCAGAACTTTCTGGACTTATGCAGGCCATAGATGGGTCGAAAATCGGCCGATTTTTCCGATGATTTTCGGATCGTTAGTGGGTTAATTGTTCGGCCGTTTTTCGGTATTTTGGCAGATTTTTTTTAATCGGTAAAGTTGGAAAAAAAGATCGTCCGATTTTTGCCGATCGTCCGATTTTTTCACGGCAATTATGGGCAAATCGGCCGATCTTTTTACCGATAAAAAATCTGTGCATGAGCAGTGACCTGCAAGAGGAAGACAAAAAGAAGAAGAAAAAAAGAAGAAGAGGATGAAGAAGAGGAGGAAGAAGAGGAGGATGAAGAAGAGGAGGAAGAAGAGGAGGATGAAGAAGAGGATGAAGAAGAGGCTGAAGAAGAGGATGAAGAAGAAGAAGAGGATGAAGAAGAGGATGAAGAAGATGAAGAAGAAGAAGAGGAAGAAGAAGAAGAGGATGAAGAAGTAGAAGAATTCCAGTCCAGCAAAAAGTGTCCCTGCAGAGAGCTCCGCTATTTCTTTGACAGTGCTTTGACATTTATAGCGGCTGCAAGAATGTATCTATTTGTTTCCGAATAAAAACATCTGTATCCGAAATGGATACAAATAGATACAATGTTGCAGCCACTATAAATGTCAAAGAACTGTCAAAGAAATAGCGGAGCTCTCTGCAGGGACACTTTTTGCCGGCTGTAGACAGGATGAAAATCGGCCGATTTTTTTTTTTACCATTCCTGGTAACGTTGGCCGCTTGAACGACCAATTTTTCGTTTTTTTTAAAGAAAAATCAGCCGGGTTTTCTCCCCATCTATGGCCTGCATTAGTTTCTAACGACTGCACATCCCATGTTACCTTTCTGCTTAAAAGCAGTGATTCCTGTACTGGCTCCACCTTCTGAAATTCCTCCTCTCAGCACCTCTGTAGTTCAGAAGGCAGGCTCTGTGAATTCTGTAACACAGCATAGCACATAGACGCACATACATTTTCAATGTGTTGTGGTGATTGTTTCTGTCCAGTATGGTGTCAAAGGATGCTAAACTGCTGGTTTAACTTCCTCGCTTGAAACAGTGATCTCAATACAACTGCCCTGGTTGGCTCATCTACCTCCAAATCTAAGTAACCACTTGCCATCCGGCCATTGCAAATAAATAGGCAGACAGCTCAATCCTGAGGGTGTATTAAAATGTCCTCCCACTTGGTGAACCCTGTGATTGCTGTGTCTTTTAGACATAGCAGATCACAGAGCAAGTTACAGGGCCAATTAAAATTGATCCTGTACCAT